CTCAATCTAGAAATAACGCCACGAGATGCAGAGCAGGGCGTAACTCCATAAGATACTTGTATAAAGAATGTTATTGTTCACGCAGGTTGTCATAAGATTAATATCATTTAACTTAAAGATTCTAACTCATTCAAAACTATAATTTCGATGTAAAAGAAGCAAATGACGGTGCATGTCGCTTACTTTTCAACAGATGAATTCTCCATCACTGTTCGCCGAATGAGTCGAATCATTGGTGTAAAACCTGCGCAAAAGTATAAATCTGACCTTTCGTCCTCAAAAAACATATCAAGTGTTGATTCATGTAAATAAATGAGTTTCGCTAGGTTTACAAGGACAAGGCTTGCTGTATTGTGGAAAATAAGACCGAATAATTTAAAAATCGGTCTAACAAATAACTGAGTGGTGACTGACTGACTAATTGACCGACTGACTGGCTGGCTCGCTGGCTGCCGGACTGACTAACTGACTAACTTACTGACTGAATGAATGACCGACTGTAAGACTAATTGACGCACTGACTGCATGAATGACTGACTGACTGAAGGGCTGACTGATTGACTGACTGGCTGAAAGACAGGCTGAATAACTGATTCACCGACTGACTATCTGACCGCCTGGCTGACTGTGGATCTATCAGCATTGAATTGGTGGCATTGACAAACCTGTCCCAGCAGCAATCAGAAAAATTTCCTTTGCCTCGTTCAGACGAGTATCTTTAAAATCGCCAGAATATTCAGCAATTTGAAGAGTATCGCCTGAAAAATATGATCGTAAGCAAAATATGAATGTAAACGAATATGTGAAAATTTGCCGTCGTTTGAAGAAATCGTAGAATACTGAACTTTCTTCGATAATTTTTTTTTTGCAATGACGGCTAACGAATCAAGATCAAATAAAAAAAATATTTTAACACTGGCAATGGTGAATGTACCTTGAAAAAGGTCAGTGCCCCTTAATGCTAAGTGAGACAAGGAAAACTTGGAAATTAAGGAGCCATACAGATGTACCAGTTTGTCATTATCACTGCAGTACCAGTACTAATGATGTACCAGTTTGTCATTATCAATGCAGATTTTCTCCAACTGAGAAACATTCGAAAAATATCCCTGTTCATTTTATTTTCCTTACGGTTCTGCTACAGTTTTAAAGACATCAATTTTGATTAAAAACCCACGAGGCAACAAACTACCAAACACTGACATCAGAGAGTGTTGGCAATCATGGAACTTACCAGCCACAACAGGATTTAAAGTTGGTGTAAGTGTTCCTTCAGGATAAAGTTTAATCATAAGGTAAAACCGTCTGCCATCAAATTCTCGCTCTGATTGATCGACTTGAAGCGAGGGCAACACGACTGTGTATGGGCGGCTGATCTGCATTCCTGCGGTATCAGAAATTCAGTGGGAGCTTAAAGGAGGCTTACAAGTGTTATAAAAATCTTTTCCATTAATTACTCATTTGATTGTTCGTATGAGGAGCACACGATTAATATCAAGCATAATAATCCTTTACAGTTCCAAAACGAACCTTCAACATCTCTGGTCAAGTGTATGTGACGTCCAACCGGTATTCTCATAATGACACCATTCGGAAACTCACAGCAAAACAGTTTACAGTTGTGTGTTACTGAATCCACGGAGATAACCCGGCAATCCCATAACCTGGAATCTAAAAGATGAAACAGAGGAAGATTTTTGCAAGGCCCTACAGCATTGCCTAATCCCTCTGTCATGCCGGACTTCTATCTTTCATAGCACTGTTCGCACATTGTGGGATAATGATGTATTTATCGCGTAACTCAGTAGATTAAAAATTAATAAATTTTTTGGAATGATCTAAATGTTGTAACAGAATCTTGGGTCGTAAAATAACAATGTGGATTTTAATTGTGATGGGATACTTGTAATAAATATATAAATTTGATTGTTGGTTCAACGTAATTTCAAAACACATGTAGATGTCGTGCGAGTTACTTGGTATTTTTCCGAGCCCCGTAGTGGGAGGGAAAATACAAAAGTAATCAGAAAATAATCCTAAATAGCTTTCTACTGAGTTACGCGATCACTACATCCTTATCCCACACTATGCAAACAATTGTACGTATTTTATGGTCAGTCCAAGTGCAACTGAAGAGACAAAGAGGTTAGTTGGATATTTAATTGTCATTCCCGTATTATTTCGTTTACTAGCATGTCGCTTTAAGTTTTCGAAAAACTTCCTACGACCATATCTGAGCATTGAACAGATCAAACGACAAAAGTAACTCAAACACAGTGACTTCAAGTCTGCTTTATGGCCAACAGAAAAATCCAATGTGCTTCGAAGTTTGTTGCTGAAAAAGTCATGCCTTCAAAAAGAAAAAAAAAACAAAAGGTTGAATCATTCAGCGTGGCTATTTTGTAGCTTCAGCATTCCGTCCGTACTTTTGTACTGTTGTTTGTTTGAAGGCATATTTTCCGTGTTTCGTCGCCTAATACGGTAAAATGGCGTACTATAAATACATGCAGATGTAAGTGTTTTTTCACTGTTTTCCATACCTCTCTCCTTGTGCAACTTGAAAGAGTTATTTCCCGGCAAACCTTGTCCTAACTCAGTCCATTGCACCCCGGCCACTTCTTTGGTCAAAAGAATATCAATTTTGCCACTTTCCCCGGACAAACGTACTATAAAAAATCATGTAACAGTATAAAAGGAAAATCAGTCAATAGACCTTGCGTGCCACCAGTTTTCTAAATTGTACAGTTACTATGGTATCGGTAGACGTGTGAACATGTATGTGGTTGTTTAAAGTTTTCTCAGGATGGTATGTAAATATTTCAGCATGCACAAGATTATTTGTTACAGGTAAATTTAGACTCCAGATTAGTAGAGTATCTGGTTTCCTAAATCCACTTGATAATGTGAACTGGCCGTTGTAAAGAAATTCTAAATCTGATGTTTTGAGTATCAGGCTTTGGTTGCGATATAATAAGCAATAGTATAATTTCAAAGCTGAGCAAAGAGTTTCCAGCAATCTGATTGGTCGAGCGGTTCCTTCTATGACGCTATATAAACCGCTCGACGCGGTTTACATAAAATGTTAAAATAAAATGTTAAAATAAAATGTTAATAAGTGTTACTAAAAATTTTTAATTAATGTTATGATTTTAGAAATTTCTCTGTTGGTCAGCTCTGAAATTATACTAATTAAAAGCAATTATTCGCCTCAGGTTTGGTGAATATTGTCAAATAATCCCCTCGCCTTCGTCTCAGGGATTATTCAACGATATTCACCTCGCCTTCGGCGAATAATTGTTAAATACATGAGAAATGTTATAAGACAGTGATAAACTACATACCTTGTTGATGAGATATGAGATTGCTGAACGCTTCAAGAAGAGATGAGATACATATCAATTAGTTTTTCCTTAACTCTTTAACTTCCACCACTGATTAAAACATATAACCTCTATACACATCTATAATATCCATACATTATCCAGCAAACAGGTGATGAGAATCCTCAAACTTATCAGGTAGAAGTTTTTATCTCGATCTGAAACCAAATTCTTGTAACTAACTTACAAGGAAATATGTTGCAGCTCGAGTGGAGAGTTAAAGGAGGAAAAAAAAATGGAGTAAAATTAATTTTAAGAAGGGAATTAAGATAAAGAAACAAATGTTAGGAATTCACATGAAAATGAACAATAAACTAACCTAAATGAATTCGAAAACTTTTTTCTCCTAAAAGGAATATTGCATCAAACTCTTTTCCTCCCTTCAGTTCTAATATGACATCTTCAACTTGTACATCCTATAAGATACAGGTACATGTGAATTGTCAAAGTTATTGAGGTCCACATCGGATAAAAATTGTGGTATTCAAAAATTTATTTCACTAAGCAGTTGTTGATTTTTCCATACATCGGTACGCTGGGTAATTCACAGAGATTAGAGAAAAAAAAGGCATGTATGAAGTCTGGAGGGCACAAAAGAGGCAGCCAAGAGCAACTCTCTGTGCTCTCCAAACTTCCCATGCAAGAACTTCATATCTTGCTTTTTAAATTCACAGCCCACACAGAAATTAAGTGTTTGAGAATATATCCCTCTGTCGCGTTTAAAACAGGTGTGACTCCACTGCAAAATACCATCAATTTTACTGCAATCATCAAGAACAATTTGGAACAAAGTAAAACAAAAATCACTCTGATGAAGGGATAACGCTCGTAACGTCAGCTTTTGAACTCTTTACGGTTGCCAATTAACATTAGCAACTTAGTTGATAAAACCAAATTACCTTGTAACCCCCACCAATGCAGCACCACAGTTTCTTTTAGGTAGAAGCTTACCCCTTCATTAAAAAAAATTATAGTCATATTCAAATATTAACGATATTTCATAACAAACCTTTTTTCTTGTAAACACTGATATTGTTATTATTTTTTCATTTTGATACCAGTCATAGCTGCAACAAAAAAAAGTATAAAGATTGTAAATCTCTGGTCAACTCAGGCTTTATTCATGACCTGAGTTTCTTAAGCCTAGCAGAAAACTCAAGCCATCAGTCAGCCCTAACTGACTGCATTTTGTAAAATACAAGGTGAAATTTAATAAACTTGAATCAAAAAGAGAAAAGGAAGGTCCTGGTGGATGGTTTTAAATTATCCAATTGTGGAGGAGAGAAAGCACTGGAGACAACATAAATTTGTGACACTCTTCAGGGTATGTTTGAAAATAACTGACACATCTACCCAAATTTTTGGAACATTTCTGGACATCTTTGCTCATGATCTGATATTCTGCAATATCTTATACATATATTTTTAACATTCATTTCTTTTGTAAAAAGCTTTTATCTTGATTCATCCCGTATATAGTTTTGATCTACTGTAACTGCAGTGTCCCTAATTAGCAGCAATGCTAAATCTTTGTAGACACATTAATAAAGTTATGTTGTTGTTGTTGTTGTTGTTGTTGTTGTTGTTGCAGCAGTACTCTAGAGATAAAAGTCTTAGGCCTTTGAGTCCTAAAAAAAGATAACTCAACTAAGGATGTACATAAGGAAATTACTTACCGAGGGTCTTGAGACTTTTGTGGGGGAACAGGAACTGCAAATCCATCAACTAGAATTAAATATCAAATTAGCCAATCATAAAAAAAAAAAAAATTCAAACAACAGAACTGGCTGGAATTAAAAAAAAAAAAACTGGATCTGGAATATATTTTGCACCCAGAGATACAGGCAACAATCCATAAGGTGGGTGGTTTGCCATCAGTCAACCTTAATTAAGAAGCATGCTCCATAGTGCCAGACAAGAAAGAACCTGTGGATAGCTTTATAATAACAGTTCAATCAAAGTAACCTAAATCATAGGCAACTTACATCTTAGGTGAACTTGAACCAGTTGTGATTTCTACAGGATTTGTGCAATACATTTTCAGAGGGTTTTTTTTCCATTCTCTGATTTCATCCTACTTTCAAAATTACTTCGGAACCTTTTTTAAATCAAGTTTCTGGGAATCAGCTGAAAGCATTATGAATTACAATGATATGGACAGGAGAGGAATCTAAGTGAAAAACATTTAACAGGAAGTCTACCTTGTGCACTTGGGACAAACAAACTGTTATGAGACCGCAGCGATCCCGATGAGACATTAAGGGAGTTCCCTGATCCTTATAATAGATAAATAAAAGGAACAAAGTAGACATTAATTAAAAGTATCAAAAAATCAATTATAATTTTATTACATATCAAAAGTATGAGTAATTTCTAAAGGAAATCTACGTCTTCCCTTTAAAAGTACAGAGTGTTTGTAGCACAACCAAAATACAAGTGTATGATATACATCTATGACTGAGTACCAAGTACATGTAGGAATAACTTAAGCTTTTTTAAGCAGTATTAGTCCGTATGAAGATTCTGAGGGCTTCTAATGAAAAAGTAGCAAAGCTGTTAATGAAGAGATGATAACCCATTGATAATGCTAGGCCATTATTCCCTGCTCATGCTGCTTTGTCAGACTATATGGATCCTTGAACTCTCAGTCTAACATGGCACACATACCTGTTCTTGAAGGCTTTGCCTTTTTAACCACATTGCTTCTTTTTAAAGGGCCGATGAAACACTTTTCTAACATTGATTCAGCATTCACCCATTTATGTGTCTGAAATGAGAAAAGTTGAGTAACGTAAACATAATATGCACAGAGGATAAAGTTGATGTTATGCGAAAATTTTAGTAGGGGTAAATAACATTACTCTACGCTATCAAAGTTTTAACCAATTGGGTTTAAATCAACAGGATCAAATCTGCTCTGAAAGCAATCTTTAGTGGAATTTGAACTTACTTTTGCAAATAGAAAAAGAGAGATAGTAAGTTTTGAGCTCTGTAAATGAATGTACAGAGATACGTTTTTTGTCCTGAACTTACTGTTTACCATTAACCATCAATACTTTAACATTATTGATTCAAAATGCATGTGATTCATTATGTTCTCTATACATTTTCCACCATGACGAAAAGGAGAATTTGTTCAACAATCAAGAGCTTGTTTAGTTGGTGATTGTTTTCTCTATTTAATGTGTGATTCAGGGGTGAAATTGCTAGGAGAAATTAAAATAATGTTGACCACTCTTAGGAATCAAAGAAAAAACAAGCTCCATACTGTTCTTCTAATTCCATTTGAGAACAAGGGACTCTTGGGGGGGAGGGCTTAGGGTACTCACCTCATCAAAAAGATCAGTAGCATCCCTTCCGACCCCTCTCATGATCTCTGGAATTCCTCCAGGATGGTACTCTAAATAAGGAGTCATATTGTATACTCTACCTGTGTTATGTAAAAAAGCATTCAGAGTTGTTATAATCAAAGGAAATACAATCGTGTCTTTTCATCTTAAGTCACAATTGTAGGGCAAAGGAAAATTTTGAGTGCTTATGAAACATCAAACCTCAGATGTTCCGATTCTACCTTGTGAGGCTCTATGAGTGAGATGCTGAATATCTTACTTATCATGCTACATTGTTACTGACTGAAATATCAAATAACTGACCATTGATCAGTATCAATAAGTTTATCTGTGGGAATCATAAAATGTAGCATCTTGCATCTAAGTTTCTGGTGAGGCGCTACTTTTATAGTAGGAAATGTGGCAGGGTGTAATTATTTGAGATATAAAGCATGCAAAAAGTTAGAATTATGCAAAGGAGTCATTCAGTGATAATTAATTGAAAGCAAACTTATGAAAATGTGTTTTACAATTATTGCACCACTATTATTGCCCACCCAGTTCCGGTTTAATAATTCTCCTAATGTGTTTTAAACACAAAGGATCAACGTCAAATTTATTAATAAAAAACAGTTTATAAAGGGAATAAGTTTCTAGTAAAAGAAACTGTAACGTTCATCAGTGGGGGGGTATTATAAGATTGTTTGGTTTTATCAACTGAGGTGTTTTTAGCCATTTGTCAGAATAAAAGAGTGTTTCTCACTGACAAAGGTTTAATGCTTGAAACATCAGCTTCAAAAACTCTCTACAGTGCCAATTTACATTATCAAATCAGTTGAAAATCCAGGATGTCTTTAAAGAAACTGATTGGCATTTTATTTACATAGTCGTTTGTTGTCTTCTTAAAATTTCAAAACCTATCGAGATGTCCTCTTATAAAGGAAATTCTATAAACAATGAAAACGTGATCCCTCAATGTTTTTTACATGGAAAAGTTCAAGAACAAATCTACAGATCATTCTTAATAGCTGAGTAGATAATTTCTTTTGAAGTCGCCACAAAAATAGACATTGCATACTGACAATAACCTTTATAAGACAACAGTATGTTGTAATGTGAATGACATGTTGTCACAAAACCACTTGATCGTTGAACCACAGTTGGTAGTAACCCATTAACAGGAGTTAATTTTTGTCCACTTCGTTGCTGAGGTCTGCAGATTCGAATCGTGACACAGATTTGGCTTAAAAACTTTTCGTGACCGCACAATCGCAATTTCTTAAATGCGACTAAACAGAAATAAACAATACACAGATTTAAACACGAAGATTCGTCTTCTTGATGTAAGCTAGTCGAGGTTATCATTTATCTCCAAGCTCTTTACGTGTCTGTAAGAGATTAAAAGCCAGGGAGTAGAAAAAAGGAAAGCAAATATCAAAACATTTTACCTCTGATACTGATCCACGCATCTTGCTCTTTATTATGTTTGCTCAATTCTTCCTCGGTAACAGCTTGCACAAGTCCGCCGGTTCCAGCTAAGTCTTGTCCACTTTTGCCAAGCCTGATCCAGTCCATAAGACTTCTCCCCGGCTTAAGTGGTACAACTTTGGCTCTGATGTTTAACGAGCCTGATGATTTCGCCCTTTGGGGCGAATTTTCCGCCGGGAAGTTTATCTTCGGAGCCGTCATGGCGGCTTGGTTGTTGTCGTTTTCGTCATCACGTGTTTGTGCGTTGCGGTCAGCCGCTGGTTTTGCTGCGTTCGACGACGAACAACCCAGTTTGGCGATTTGTAGAATCTTTCAAACCACAAGTAGTCTTACTTAAAAGAAACTGATAACGAAGTCTTGCTTTACAAGGCCCCTGACCACACCAGCTCAGGTTATCGTCAGCGTTTGTACGATTGTGTTGACACTGAGTAAATATTCTACGAAAATTTTCCCTATGTAGGTGTCAAGCAAAAAAACTCGTGCGAACAGTCACATGTGAACGACAAACGACATGCTTTTCCCCTTTCTACCACGATAGACAACGTAAAGTTACAATCACAGTGCGTTAACCCGCCTGTTAAAAACCTATAAACGCCTAAGGTTAAGAAATGCAAATGTGTCAACAAAATTCGTTGTCAAGCAAGTTTTTAAATAAACACGAATTAATCAAAAAATGTACTGAAAACCAATTTCATCAGAAAAAGGATTTACATAAACTTTCGTCTTCGCTTCTATGTTTATTTTTTTTTTTCTGTTGTATTTCCTACTAAGGAAGGTGGTACACAATTTCCTCTGTGCACGAATTTGTTACCTATATCGTTTTCTCCAACAGTTCGTGGACAATTTGCGTCGTTAACACTTCAACTGTGTATCATCAATACACCAAATTCTGAGCGGCCTATCATTCGCTGATTTTCGGACATAAGATCAATTTTCTTTGCCGGAAGCATTTCCAATTCGCAGTTTCATTTGCTGTTGGACCTCTTAATTTCATTTGTTTACCTTCCTGAGTCGATTTATTAAAAGCTTCCTTAGTTCCTTCACATTGACTTAGCAATATTACACTTGCGTTGATCAGACAAAAGACAGCCACTGACACATGCAGGGTTTGATATGACAGCTGTAATTTTAGTTTTTCTTTTTCCTGAATCTGGCCACCTGCCGTAACGGTTTGGTGCTATGACAAAGTTCCACCGGGCTTCTCACGCAAGACTTGTCACGTGCGTACGACCCGCTTCGTAACCCTTTCACGATTTTTGCAACGTGCAAAAAATAATGATGAAAATAATGATGTTAATAAAAATAATAACAATAATACAATGAATATATGAAGTTCATATATTTTGAACTGCGGTATTAAATACGTATGATGCACGATCCTTCGCAGTAGATAGCGCTATTTATGCAATAGCGAAAATCAGACTTGAAAAAAATCAGGCCTGTACGGGATTCGAACCACTGACCTCTGCGATACTAGTGCAGCGCTCTACCAATTGAGCTAACAAGCCAACTGGGAGCAGGCCGTTAAGTTGATTCGTAATAAACCCGTGATGATAAATCAGATACAATGAATATATGAAGTTCATATATTTTGAACTGCGGTATTAAATACGTATGATGCACGATCCTTCGCAGTAGATAGCGCTATTTATGCAATAGCGAAAATCAGACCTGAACAAAATCAGGCCTGTACGGGATTCGAACCACTGACCTCTGCGATACTAGTGCAGCGCTCTACCAATTGAGCTAACAAGCCAACTGGGAGCAGGCCGTTAAGTTGATTCGTAATAAACTTCATATATTCATTGTATCTGATTTATCATCACGGGTTTATTACGAATCAACTTAACGGCCTGCTCCCAGTTGGCTTGTTAGCTCAATTGGTAGAGCGCTGCACTAGTATCGCAGAGGTCAGTGGTTCGAATCCCGTACAGGCCTGATTTTTTTCAGGTCTGATTTTCGCTATTGCATAAATAGCGCTATCTACTGCGAAGGATCGTGCATCATACGTATTTAATACCGCAGTTCAAAATATATGAACTTCATATATTCATTGTATCTGATTTATCATCACGGGTTTATTACGAATCAACTTAACGGCCTGCTCCCAGTTGGCTTGTTAGCTCAATTGGTAGAGCGCTGCACTAGTATCGCAGAGGTCAGTGGTTCGAATCCCGTACAGGCCTGATTTTTTTCAGGTCTGATTTTCGCTATTGCATAAATAGCGCTATCTACTGCGAAGGATCGTGCATCATACGAATAACAATAATGTTGGTGATAACTATCTAGAGATTTGTGCACAAAACGTATTGGGAGATCGAAAGCAGCCAACATAGACTACGAACGGCCCTCCTATTCGGCAAAGTCCGTCGCGCTTTTCAAAAAACTAAACAAAACAAAACAAAACAAAAAAGGAAAAAGAAGAAAAATAAAATAAGATCAGTGAAGAAAAAATGCTGTCAGCGCGTCGCGGGAAACTCTTCGAATGAGGCGCTCACTCATGGAGAGAATTCCATGAGAGGCCCTCACTCGTGTAGCTCCTAGGGAGTTCCAAACGGCGCACTATTAGCATCTTATTTTTTCCACTGATTTTTTTTTTTTACTCGTGCGACAGACTTCGCTGAAAAGGAGGGACTACTCGTAGTCGACAGCTAACATCGAATTGGTCAGAGGGATGCCTAATCTCGTACCCAGATCCTATTGTGTGATGGGCGCTTGGTCGTGGAAGGTCTGGGTACAAGACTCACGGCAGTGCACTCCAGTACTCAAGGAATTTGGGTCATTTAATATTCAAGACCTCCCAGGGTAATGTAATTCCGACTCCCTGAGAAACTCTGTGACTGATGTCTGTCTCCTGAAATAATAATCATCGATTTCTAATATTCCGACGTTCTAAGGTCAAGTGATCGTACCACTCTACGCTACGCTATGCTGTTACGCGCTAACTTGGTCAATCGGGCAGTCTTACAATAATTAATGTTCTCAGTTATGAACTTTTTCTGCAAAATTAAAGATTTAGTTTTTGCCTTATTTATGAAATATTTGTATAATTTTTTCTTCGACGTTAGCTATCTCAGTTTAGGGTTGCAAAACTAAAGCAACCCTGGATTAAGTTTCCTCACTCGACTGGGAGAAAATATTAATTGCTCTATCGATAATCTAAGAATCATTGACGATGCTATAATTAACAAATGGTAAACACCACAGCGTACACTATTGAGTTATGGATGCACGCGGGAGGTTGCTAAGCACGAAAGAAGCGTAAGAGTCGCTCGAGGCGATAGCCGAGAGCGACGCTAGCTTCTTGAGTGCTT